AGCTTACCTGTATTATAGTGCTTAGGCTGATTGCAAAGTGAACTAATTATCTAAAAAATGTTTTCACATGTGACAGTGTGCCAGACAGTTGGCAAAATACAGTAGTCTAAATAATGTCTAAATAATGTCTTTGCAAGCTCCTTTGAGTCTAAATAATGGCCATAAATGTGTATAGTTTTGCTAGGAGTGCATTGATCATTTGGAAATTGAGTGTAAAGCAGTGAGTTGTGTTTACAGTTCTGCAAAAAGAGTGCTGTGCAGTGGATTGTAGCTACAGGTTTGCAAAGTGTGTGTTACAAAATGGCAAACTGAGTGCAAAGCAGTGTTTGTGCTTTTAGTTTTGCAAACTCAGTGAGTGGTTTTGCTATAGGTATCAATAGTTTTAGAAATTGTGCTGTAAGAATCACAGTTAGGGTTTAAGCATTCAGAAAAAAATTGTAAATACACTAAGAGATCTCAATAATACTCACCACAGTGCAGCATCTAAACCACAGACACTCTGCAGGAACATGATGAGATGGGTCCAAAAACAGATAGCATACAAAATGAATTGTTACATCTTTTTGTTAACAAAGTGAGAAAAGACAAAGGAGAAGTCACACTGAACAAACTACATTAAAACTGAATATAAGTACATTCAGGGTTTGTATTTCTAATAGATTCATTTTTGTGTTAAAATGCTTTTACTGATCAGTGTCTCCTTTTGTAACCTGTGGAAGATGGAGGTCCAGGAAGAAGTGAGCAGCTTACTATTGTGAATGTGAGAGACATTTCCTGACATATTTAACTTTGGTACAGATAAAGTCACAGTTCATGTATTTTCAAGAATCTTTTGTTCTGAGAACATAATGGCTATAACATATTGATTTAAATGTGGTGCATTTGCAGTTAGAAGTCATGCAGTGTCAAATTTAGTTCTCTATTGAAAAGCTATACACAGTGTACAGAAAGAGCTGCTCTGCTCCTGGTGACTGTTTTCCACAGAAAGAGGTGGGTGTAGTGCCCATTCCAGTTTGAATCCACAGATACTGAAAGGAGTTTCTAACTAGAGGCATGCAGACATGGTTACAAAAAAAACCAAAACAAAGATCTGTGTTGTTTTAAACAGAAGCCCGAAACGTAAATACTGGGGACATGTGAAACTAAGAATTTATAAAGTATAAAAACACAAGACCTTTAAATGTGCAGTTCAATGTTACCATATGAACCGCATATTTAAAGATTTTCTCTAAAATGAGGAGTAACTTTGTTGTTTTGTTTCTGTGGATCATCACAAAGTCAGCCTTCTACACACATCCTTATTCTCTTTGTATGTGTGATTGTTTGTTCTGCAGACACACCAATAAATAGAAACCAAAGAAATATTTTTCCTTTATAATCTAAGTCAAGTGAACTGACCTTTTAAACTGTAGTTTGCAGTGTGGACTCTCCAGGTAATCATACAGCTGTTTCATTCCTGAACCCTCCAGGTTGCATCCTATTAGATCCAGACGTTTCAGATAGGGGGGGTTGGACTTCAGAGCACTGAGCAGAGCAGCACAGTTGTTCTCTGACAAAGTGCTGTCCTCAAATCTGTAATTCACATGATTGTTATTCAAAGTGGGTTTTTTGTTTTTTTTAATTACATCACCTTTTTCCTATAAGAAACCAAGTGAATGTCTAATGGAGCTACACACTATTGCAAACTCTAAAGATTATTTTCACGTGCAAACATGCAGAAAACACACACATACAGCAACAGAACACTTCTCTGATTAAAAATCTTAAATTGTCTACATGTACTTGCACCATTTTTGATGATGGTGCAAGTACAGTCAAGTGGAGCATGCGTCTGTCCTCTCAGTAAGTGAGTGAGACAGTAGACAGCGGTGAGGAGGGCTGTTCGAGTGCACCGCAAAAACACATAAATATGCCTGACACCTTTAAACGAAGCAGCATCTGGCTGCAGTTTAAAGACTTTTTTGTCTCGGTCTCATCTTGACTTTGTCTTGGTCTTGACTTGGTCTGTCTTGGCCTTGGTCTTGTCTTGGTCTCGATACCCTCTGGTCTTGGTATTGTCTTGGTTTAGGCAGTCTTGACTACAAGTCTAGCTTTTAGTATCTCTTTAGTCCAAATTTTTATTCTTTGTGTGAAAACTCATCCTACAAATGTCAGCATCTAAAAACCTGCAGGTTATTAGTCAGCTGCTCTAACCTCTGGTCACTGTCTCATCCACATTGTCCACCTAATGTTTCCAGATGTCCAATGTAAGATAGCAGGCTACATCTGACTCTGGTTACTTTGTTGTGCAATGTGGGGGTGAAGATTACTACAATCCTGTAATTGGATGCAAGATTTTCCAAAACTGTAAGTGGTGGATTTGTGGGAATCAATGAAATTATGATAAAATCCAAGTCCTCATTGCCTGACGCTAAGGCAATGAGAAAAAAAATGGACTGGTGCATCCCAGTCCTCCATCTCACAGTACTGGAGTTGGGCTATAGGGGGATAAATTCATAGTTCAATATATTGAAATACCTTTATAAATAACAACAGATTCAGTTTCAGTTAACTGACCTGAGTGTCTCCAGTCTACAGTTTGGATCCCCCAGATTAGCAAAAGTTTCATCTGCTGGAATCTCCAGGTTGATTGAACTCAGGCACAGCTCTTTCAGATGGGAGGGACTGGACTTCAGAGCTGAGGCCACAGGGCCACATTTACCCACATAGACAAAAATCTTATGAAGTCTGTGTTGACACATATTAAAAAAATAACATGTTATTATGAAGAAGACACATTATATTTAGTTTGTGCACTCGCTGGAAAACAATTGGACACTGTCTCTTCACATCAATTGTTCAGCTGATCTGATCTGACTGACATGAAACATTCTTATGACTTCTCAGACCCACACATTTTCAGTCTTTGTTCTGATTTAATGTGGAGATGAAGGAGAAAACACTGAATTCCATTATATATGAGAGACTTTTTCCCCTCCATTTTGACAAACTTTGACAAATATAAAATCCAAGAAGGAAAAAACTAAAGTTATTTACTGTGAAAACCAAAAACATGATTAATGAACCATTTTTAGATTTTGGAAATACAAATACCATGTATTTCTTTGAAAAATGGTATATAAACATCACATTTTTGAAGGTTGATGTGATGCTGTGATCATATGATATCATTATGTTAATCATGCTTTTCTTTTTTCAATAGCTGCTTGGCCCCGAAAAAGGAATGAAAGTTGGACAACAGGACAGAGCTGAACTGCTGTGGAAAACTGCTAAGAGCAAACTTCACAAAAAAAATAAAAAAATAAAAAATTGGAAATAAACAAGCACTCATCTTCAAATGCTGTATGCTTTGGGTCCTTCCTATCAAAGTCTTATGTTTAATTTACAGCTGCTCACTGTGATGTTATCAAGCTTTAAATAGATAGTATTATCACTGACTGTATTGAATCACTTTTTTGATTTCATTTCTATTCCTGGAAGTAAATAACTGTGACACCATTCAGTTTTATCCCATTGCTTTCACACTTGGCCATTGTGGCTGCTTCAGCTGAACATTTACAGTGGCTTGCAAAAGTATTCAGGCCCCTTGAACTTTCCCACATTTTGTCACATTACAGCCACAAACATGAATCAATGTTATTGGAATTCCACGTGAAAGCCCAACACAAAGTGGTGTACACGTGAGAAGTGGAACGAAAATCATACATGATTCCAAACATTTTTTTACAAATAAATAACTGAAAAGTGGGGTGTACATAATTATTCAGCCCCCTGAGTCAATACTTTGTAGAACCACCTTTTGCTGCAATTACAGCTGCCAGCCTTTTAGGGTCTGTCTCTACCAGCTTTGCACATCTAGAGACTGAAATCTTTGCCCATTCTTCTTTGCAAAACAGCTCAGTCAGATTAGATGGACAGTATTTGTGTACAGCAGTTTTCAGATCTTGCCACAGATTCTCGATTGGATTTAGATCTGGACTTTGACTGGGCCATTCTAACACATGGATATGTTTTGTTTTAAACCATTCCATTGTTGCCCTGGCTTTATGTTTAGGGTCGTTGTCCTGCTGGAAGGTGAACCCCCGCCCCAGTCTCAAGTCTTTTGCAGACTCCTATTAGTCGTGCAATGCACAAAGTTGGCCTTTATGGAAGAGTGGCGAGAAGAAAGCCATTGTTAACAGAAAACCAGAAGAAGTCCCGTTTGCAGTTTGCCACAAGCCATGTGGGGGACACAGCAAACATGTGGAAGAAAGTGCTCTGGTTAGATGAGACCAAAATGGAACTTTTTGGCCAAAATGCAAAACGCTATGTGTGGTGGAAAACTAACACTGCACATCACTCTGAACACACCATGCCCACTGTCAAATATGGTGGTGGCAGCATCATGCTCTGGGGGTGCTTCTCTTCAGCAGGGACAGGGAAGCTGGTCAGAGTTGTTGGGAAGATGGATGGAGCCAAATACAGGGCAATCTTGGAAGAAAACCTCTTGGTGTCCTATGGACAGATTCCCCCACCTGAGCTGTAGATCTCTGCAGCTCGTTCAGACTCACCATGGGCCTCTAGGCTGCATTTCTGATCAGCGCTCTCCTTGTTCAGCCTGTGAGTTCGGCCTTGTCTTGGTAGGGTTACAGTTGTGCCATACTCCTTCCATTTCTGAATGATCGCTTGAACAGTGCTCCGTGGGATGTTCAAGGCTTGGGAAATCTTTTTGTAGCCTAAGCCTGCTTTAAATTTCTCAATAATTTTATCCCTGAACTGTCTGGTGTGTTCTTTGGACTTCATGGTGTTGTTGCTCCCAATATTCTCTTAGACAACCTCTGAGGCCGTCACAGAGCAGCTGTATTTGTACTGACATTAGATTACACACAGGTGCACTCTATTTAGTCATTAGCACTCATCAGGCAATGTCTATGTTCAACTGACTGCACTCAGACCAAAGGGGGCAGAATAATTACGCACACTCCACTTTTCAGTTATTTATTTGTAAAAAATGTTTGGAATCATGTATGATTTTTGTTCCACTTCTCACGTGTACACCACTTTGTGTTGGTCTTTCACGTGGAATTCCAATGAAATTGATTCATGTTTGTGGCTGTAATGTGACAAAATGTGGGAAAGTTCAAGGGGGCTGAATACTTTTACAAGCCACTGTAGATGTATAAAAATGAAATCATCCAAATAATTTTCTGTAAAAAAACAAAAAACAAAACAAATAAAAACCATTTTCACAGTGTTTGAAACATCTCAACAAGATTTGTGACAAAATTAAATTGATGTGTCATTTTTCCAATAAATAACTGGAACTCTGCAATAAGAAAAATGATTTTGTTTTAGTAAGAATAACTTTAAGAACTAAACTATTGATCTACACTGATTTATAATCTTAATCACATCTGGACTCACCGAGCCTTTCTGCAGTTCTTAACAGCTGGAACCAGTCTCTCTCTACCCTCCTTTGTTGTGTTGTACTTTTCCAGATCCAACTCATCCAAAACCTCCTCTGACATCAGCAGCATATATGCCAGAGCTGTGCACTGAATTCCAGAGAGTTTCTTCTCTGATTTTTTCTGTGACTTTAGGAACTCTTGGATCTCCAGATGTACAGAGAGGTCCTTCATCTCCATGAGACAGTGGAAAATGTTTAGACATCTGTCAGGACACTTGCCATCACTGCTAATCTCCTTTAGGTTGTTGATAACTCTCTGGATGCTTTCAGGATTGTACTCTGCCTGACCCAGCAGACCTCCCAAGAGTCTCTGGTTGGACTTTAGACAGAGGCCATGAAGGAAGCGAACGAACAGTTCCAGTTGGCCGAACATACAGTGGAACGATTTCTCCATGGCTCTGCTCAGAAAACCTTCCAGAGATGAGATATCTTCCAGAGATATCTTATTTCCTTTATCGTCCTCAGTAAGGAAGTTCTGCAGCACCTCTGTCTTCCTGTTGGTGTAACAGTGGAACATGTAGACTGCAGCCAGAAACTCCTGAATGCTCAGATGAACAAAGCAGTAAACTGGTTTCTGGAAGATCACAGACTCTCTTTTGAAGATCTCTGTACAAACTCCTGAGTACACCGAGGCCTCTGTGACATCCAGACCACACTGCTCCAAGTCTTCTTGGTAGAACAGGATGTTTCCTTTCTGCAGATGTTCAAATGCTAGCCTGCCCAGCTTCAAAATAACTTCCCTGTCAGTTCTGGCGAGCTCCTGCTGCTTTATCGCTTGTCCTCCGTGGTACTTGTGCTTTTTCTTTGTCTGAACCAGCAGGAAGTGTGAGTACATGTCAGTCAGGGTCTTGGGCAGCTCTGCTCTCTGCTCTGTAGTCAACATGTGCTCCAGAACTGTAGCAGTGATCCAGCAGAAGACTGGGATTCCACACATAATGTAAAGGCTCCTGGATGTTTTCAAGTGGGAGATGATTCTGCTTGACAGCTCATTCTTTTTGAATCTCCTCCTGAAGTACTCCTCCTTCTGAGCTTCAGTGAAGCCTCGAACTTCTGTCACCCTGTCAACATATGTTGGACGGATTTGACTTGTTGCTGCAGGTCGGGAAGTTATCCAGATGAGAGCAGAGGGAAGCAGATTCCCCTCGATGAGATTTGTCAGCAGCTCACTAATGGTGGACTTCTGTGTGACATCAGACACAAGCTTCCTGTTTGCAAAATCCAACAAAAGTCTGCTTTCATCCAGGCCATCAAAAATGAACAAAAGATGACACATAGTGAGCTTCTCTGCTGTGATGCTCTGTAATGTTGGATAGAAAACATGGATCAGCTCCAGAAGACTGTACTGCTCATCACTGACCAAATTCAGCTCCCTGAAAGAAAGCAGAACCACCAAACTAATGTCTTGGTTTTCTAAGCCATCTGCCCAGTCCAGAGTGAACTTCTGCACCAAGAAGGATTTTCCAATGCCAGCAACGCCATATGTCAGAACCACTCTGATGGGTGTCTTTTGATCAGGCAAGGTTTTTAAGATGTCCTGACATCTGATTGATGTTTCATGGAGGATCTTCTTCTTGGAAGTTCTCTCCACCTGCCTGACCTCATGTTGGATTTGAAACTCTTCATTCTGCACATCTGTGATGTAGAGCTCAGTGTAGATCACTCTGAGGGGGGCTTCACTTCCTGTTTTATCAGTTCCTTCATACACATGTTCACATCTGTTAATCAGAGTGAGCTTTAATGCATCTAAAGCTTTTTGCAGACCAGTATCTGTTGAAAGAATGGAAAACAATGAATCTGGAGAGCCCAAAATGCCTGAATAACAGAATAATTAAAAAAACAATATCAACAGAAAGATATTAGATTTTTCTTTGTGCACAGCTGCTCTTACTGGCTGCATGCTGATTATCTCTGGTTCTGGAATTTTCTCTACACTGTAGACAGAAGTCTGATGAATCCTTCAGGGCACCATGACACGACACACAACAGGATGTTGGCTTCCCCACGAAAAAATTATTACGCTTTGTTTCTCTGTGGGGACCAAAAAAAAATTATTCTCACCAAAGAAAAACGGTAAAATCAGACAAACCAAAGTTTAATAGTAGCCCGGGCATCCAAAAAAAAACATGGTTTATGTTTCTAGGCACCCAGTAGTCAATTCTTGACTACAAATTTTGCTTTGGTGCTTAGATTTTATTATGAGATGGATCGCTGATAACTTTCTTCAACAAAGTGAGAAGAAAACTGAAGTCCTTGTTTGTGCTCCTAAAAAATTGGTACCTATGGTTACAGAAACCTTAGGCCCTCTCGCTACATTTGCCAAACCTTCAATCTGTTTTTATTATTAAAAAAAACATTGCTAAGCTGAGTCCCATTGTCTCACGCTCAGAATTAGAAATGGTCATCCATGCATTTGTCTCATCTCGTTTGGATTATTGTAATTCTTTGTTCACTTGTTTATGTAAAGCCTCTGTGGATCATCTGCAAGTTGTTCAGAATGCTGCCGCAAAGCTTCTGACCAAGTCTTCTAAATACTCTCACATTACACCTCTACTGATCAAGTGGCACTGGCTCCCCATAAAATTCAGAATCCACTTTAAGATTTTGACTTTGACATTCAGGGCTCTGCATGGACAAGGACCAAACTAATATCAGAGATCTTACATCCCCAGCAGCTCCTTGAGGTCATGTGATCAGGGCTTACTGGTCGTCCGTCATACATACGAGGTTGAAAACGAAAGGCGAACAAGCATTTGTAACTGTAGCCCCCAGACTTTGGAGCTCCCTGCCTTTGAGCCTGAGACCTGTGGACTCAGTGGTTTCATTTAAAAAACAGCTAAAAACTAATATTTTTAAAATTGCTTTTGGTTGATTTCTGTTTTATGTTTTAGCTTTGCTTTGAAGCACATTATGATTGTTATCTTGAGAGGTGCTATACAAATAAAATTTTACTCTACTTACTTTACTTCTTTTCAGTATCTTTAATTTATTTTGTGTTTTGTTGCATTTTACTTTCTGCAAATCACTTTTGTGCCAAAGAAGATAAATCACAGAATCTGAAAGGCAAATTAGACATTATTCTGTAAAATAGATAAAAAACTACTCATGTCACGAGCTGCACATTAACTTTTGAAGTTTGTTAATCAGTCACAAATGTCTGTGCATGAATTGATACGCTTCATAATGTAGCCAAGGTCGGTATCATGGGACATGCCACTGGATGGCACTGTTTCTTTTGGGGTACCTCTTGATGGGGATCTACAGAAACATTCACGGAAGTGCTAGCTTGCATTGGTGTTATGTGGGTGTGCAATGACATTTTTCGCTGCCTGGTCTGTTTTAAATGCAAAGAGTGGAACAGTTAAGGCACTGGGAGTTGCTGCAACCGACTTCACTGTTCATGTCAGAGGGATCTCTATGCCGTTTTTCTGCTGGATTAATGCATTGTATTTGTTTGAGTTCACACTTGTATTATAATATATCCATGGATAAGAGGGAAAATGTACCTTTGTTAACTGTTTAATGTGTCTCTGTTTAATTTTAGCACGAGAATCCACTACAGTTATTTCTGCACTGCTAAGTTTGTTTTGTTTCTGGATGGCTTTATATCAGTCACAAATTGACACTAGACATCTTTGAGTTCCAGATGCTGATGAAGTTGGGAAAATAACCTGCAGTAGCAGTGGGTTACCAGCAGAGATGGGCAGTAACGCATAATCCAATTACTTTTTTCAAGTAACGAGTAAAGTAAGGGATTACTATTGCACTTAAAAAAAGCGCAAAGTGATAAAGATGAAATTGTATCTGTTAAGCCTTTTGCTCTCTAAGCTCACTCGCTGCGTTAACTTTAGCTCATCAACAGCAATATACCACTATCCTTTTCTTCTCTCCTGATCACAATACTAAAGAAGTATGTCCAGGAGTTCCACACAGCCTCTACAAATGCGCGTAAATTCTTAATGCAATACCCTTTCCTACAGATTTGTGCAACTCCCTATTTTTCTTGTATGTATGTCTTTCCCTGTCGAGCTATTTTTTGCTTCCACCATATCTGTTTGAAGTAAGGCCTGTCAAATTGGCGTGACCTGACTCATATAAGCCCCAGTGTCACCACAACGTCATAGCTCGCACGAGCTTGCACTCAGAGAGGAACTCTCAATCTAAGGGTTTCAAAAAGCAGTGTATTCTCTACTTCCTCCCCTCCCTCTCTCAGCGGACAACTTTACGAGCGCCACCCCACGCTCTCTAAAAAAAAAGACACCACTTTGCATTAGTGCTGACGCTGATTCCAGCACCACACGCACTCACATAGCTCCACCAAAGCTTTTCGTTCTAACAGCTGCTTTGCACTCTGCAAAAATAAATCACATGGCCTCGGGAGATGATGAGTGATGGCACTGAGCTTAGGAAGTCTGTCCAGTCGCCCGCGTGAAAATCCAGCAAGCTGCTGCCGTCGGGGAGGAGACTGCGGAGTCTCCAGGCCAGGACCAGCAGGCTGAAGGACAGCTTCATCCATCAGGCTGTCAGGAAGCTTAACTCCCTCCCGATTCTGCCCCCTCTCCCCTCTCTCCTCCACGGTCTCACTGAACTCTGTCACACACACTCACACACACACACTCTCTGACTCACTCACTGGCCTGCACCAGTTACCAGTCACTTTGTGGAGCATTGGACTGCCATTACCTCATAAGACTTTGTGTTACACTATCTCATACCGTACATTACCAAATCTCCATTTGCACTATTTGCTTATTTGCACTACTCTGCCTGGTTTGCACTCAATGTCATTTACCCTTATATTGTATATTGTATAGCTTTCTTGTTATATGTAAAATTGTATTATATTATTTAATTTTTACTTTAAAATATTTTACTTGCATTTTTAATCACTCTTATATTTAAATGTTCATTTTCTATTTTATCTAGGGATTGAGAGTAACGAAGTTTCTATTCTCTGTATGTCCTGTACATGTGGCAGAATTGACAATAAAGTTGACTTTGACTTTGACTAATAAAACGTGATTTTTTTTTGTGAGAGTGTCTCATGACAGTGACGTAAGCGAGTGCGACATTCGTGTCAACAGCTGTGTGCAGGTCAACAATGGATAATATATCGAGTGTGGGAGAGAGTATGAGCATGCAGCGTTTAAAGCGTGGAAGTACTGACCTTACTTTGAGTTTGATTCCGTAAAAAGCGTTCGACACACACACACGGATATATACAGCTACACATGCATACACAAGCTGTGTAAACCAACCATAAATAACCAATCTAAATCTTATAAACATAAAATACAGGATGACAGAAATGAAATGAAGTAAAATGAATATCACAGAATGTACATAAGATGCAGTTGCAGTCTGCTAGTGGGAGCAGGAAGCGAGGGAGCCAGAGAGGGAAGTGATGGAAAGGTACATCTGGGAGACACAGGCAGCAGGAATCATTTCTCTCCAGCAGGGGCTGGACTAGTTTTCATAGCAACTACGAGCAACAAAGGCAATGACTTTGTTGTTTTGTATTGACTATTTTGGTTTATATGAATAAAAAATTAAAAATAAGTACCTCTTGCCTCTGATTAACTCAGCTTTTGAGTCTCTCCACAAAGCCGCCATGTTCACTAAGTTGGATCTTCAAAACACATACCACCTCATTCCCATCCAGTAGGGTGACAAATGGAAGACAGCTCTTAACACCCCGCTCGGACATTTTGAGTATCTCCAAGGTAAGCTCCAACTCTGTGCCTTTTTCCTCACAGGGACTGTCAAGCACAGAGCACATCTATGATGCTGGGGAGAGGGCGCTCCAAGCAATGAAGCGGGTGCTGGATGAGTGCTGCTGCTAGCTTGTTAGGGAGGTTGAATCTAGTTTACCTCTGTTTTGCTAAGAGACTAAATGCTTGCTTGGCCCGTTGGTCCCTGATCTTTGGTCGACTCTGTTGTACTCTTTCTTATCGCCTTGGGTCTAGAAATAAAAAGCCTGATGCTTTCTCAGCCAGTTCTTTTTCAGTCAGAGCAGGAGAAGATTCTGCCTGCCAACTAATTATGCTTCCTATTTTATTGTGAAAATTCTTTTTCCATGTTCAGTGTGTCTAGTTTCACTTCCTCCGTGGCCACATTATGTCCATTCACATCAGCCCTTTCCCCGTGTTTTTCCACTCCCCTTGAACACCTCCTGTGTGTATTTAGTCACTGAGTTTTCATTCATTCTTTGTCTGATTGTATGCTATTCTGCCATGCTCATGCCATATTTACCAGGAGTTTCAGGCCATGCCAAGTCTTCGGGTTTTTTATGTCTTTTTTCCATGTTCATGTTAATGTTCAGGGCTTTTTATGTTTAGCCCGAGTTCACTCAGGTTAGGTTAGTGTTTAGTTTTGCCTTTGCCATTTTTTTTACTGTTAAAACCAGTCTATTAATAAATGGCTCGCTTTCTGTTAAGACTAAGTTTAGTTCTTGCATGTCTGTACTTGGTCTTCCTCCTCACTCCACTCCCACAGATTGTGACAAGATTGTCACCAGGGAAATCCTTTTAAATCATTTATAGATTTCTATCAAATTAAAGTTTGGATTTCCATTTTGGTTTTTCTGCTATAGACCCACAGAATATTTAATGCATCTTTTATTTCTTAATCCTAGCACTTCTAATCGTGGCAAGGGGTCCCATGAAGCTAGTTAATTAACTCATTTTATGTTACCCAGGGTTCAGTCTAACTATGAACACAGTCACATCAAAGTTGTTGCATTTGCAGTAACAAACCAATCGAAGTCATGGATAGGTGCACTGCAGGGCAGCAGTTAAGAATATAAAACTACAAAACATCACAGTAAAATTATCAAATATCAAAAATATCAATTACCGGTAAACACATAAACACTGAAAGCAACACAGCTGCTGTGTGAGTGGTTGTTTTGGGGAAATCATTTTTGAGGAAAGTTATTTTTCACCCTTTTTGAAATACCTTAGACCAGCAGTCCCCAACCCCCGGGCCTCGGACCGGTACCGGTTCGTGAGTCATTTAGTACCGGGCCGCAAGAGTTGAGGCTCAGGTGTGAAATGTATAGTTTTCAGGGGATTTTTTTCGGTTTTCAGCGTTATTTTGTTATTGTTTTTATCTTTTACTCGGTTTTTTCTTGGTCTTTTCACGTGTGTTATGAATAAATTTCTTTTTTTCGGTACCGGTACTAGTTTTATTTTGTTGTATTTATCCGCGACACCTTAAAGGCCAGAAAATATTGTTGGCCATAATTGTCGGCCATTGTCCGTGGCGCAAAAAAGGTTGGGGACCGCTGCCTTAGAGTTTACCCTATAGGTTTGAAGAATGGTCTCTTTGCTTTCCAAAAAAAGCCTTCATTTCATACCTTTTGATCTTTAATCTCAAACAAAACCTGATGTGGAACAGGTTAGGCCACATTCAGTGACTCCAACCCTACAAACCCCTTTGAAATATTATGAAAGACTTCAAAACCAAAATCGTCTTCACTCAGTTGATAGCAGAAGCAGTCTCTTACTGTGTGACTGAGGGTCCATGTTCATGACTGAAGACTGGAGGATAATCTCTGGACGTGTCACTGTTCATGGACACAGAGCTGGATCCTGGAAACTCTCCTCTGTGTTTGTGTCGCTGATGACTGCAAACACAAACATACAATGAAAAAGATGTTTTTCTTTTACATTTACCTTTTGTTGGCCACTGAGCTGCTTCTCTCTCAGTGTCAGATTTATGAGACAGGCTGTCACCAGAAAACAAATATCTGGAGCTCAAACACATAATACATACTGAAAACAACACAGATGTCTTAGTGGT